TTTTTTTTTTTTTTAGAGTGAAGAGACTTCTGTCTGGAAATCCTGCTGAACAAGCCACGCTTGTTCAGTCTTTTTCCAACTGTCATGAAGTGTAATATTTAGATGCTAACTAATGCCACCTGATTAGCCGGACCTGGCTGCTATTTACCTGCTTAATTACTATTGCAGTGTCTTTTTCTGATCTTTTTAACTGCTCCACAGTTTGTGTGCAGCAGCGTTGGCTTTGTTACTTTTATCAGGTTGTTGATTTTCCAAATCAGATGTATTGTGCTTTTATAAACCTTTTTCATCTAACTCAACACCTTCACTAGTCAAATTTATTACTAGTCAATAAATTTGTATCACATTTATTCTTAATATACATCGTAAGAATGGCACCACTGAATCTTAAAAGCTCCCATTATGGGTGCTGATACATCATTGCTTTGCCTCCACCTCTTAAAATGTTCCAGTAACTTGACACTTAGTTTTTTTTGTTGTTTTGTTTTCTTTAAATCAAGAGATGAATGGAGAAACAAATGTTAAGCGTTTCTCCTTTCCCTCCCTCACCTGTATGTATACGGTCCAATCTCCACCACAGCTGGCCTCTCCCCATCCAACACCTCTTGGGGATTTGTGAGATTGAAGAAGTAAAACTGCATGTAGATATGTGCCGGTGGATCCTTCCAGGCCTCAAACGCATCTGTATCGTTTTTCAGAACGACTTGCTAATGGGGGACAAAGGGCGGTGGGGTTAAAAATGTTATTTTAGATGACTACTGTGCTGATGATATGCAGTTTCACTTCACGTTACACGGTATGAACCTGCTGAAACAGATGAAATCATCATTTGGTGTCATGACACACACACACACACACACACACACACACACACACTCACAGGCCACTGCTTTTCGGCACAAATACATAATCAACTCAATGAATTTAGCAACGTAGCCATTCTCAAGAGGACCTGCTGAAGTTCAAACTGAGTATCGTAATGGGAAAGAGACGTGATTTAAGTGACTCTGAACATGACTGCTGGTGCCAGATGGGCTGGTTTGAGTATTTCAGGAAATGTTGTTTTACTGGGATTTTCCCCAAACAACTAGATTTTACAGAAAACTGTGTGAAAATAGAAAGAATATGTAGTGAAAGGCAGTTCTCTTGGTGAAAATGCCCCGTTGATTGTGAAGGTTAGAGGAGAATAACTAGACCACTTCAAGCTGATAGAAAGGCAACAGTAACAGTAATTACGTGTTACAACCAAGGTATGATAAAGAGCATCTCTAAACCCATAACACATCAACACAACCTATAAAATTGGAAACTTAGGCTACAATTCACACAGACTCACCATAATTGGACAATAGAAGATTGAAAAACTATTGCCCAGTCTGAGGAGTCTTGATTTCTGCTACAACATACAGGTGGCAGGGGCAGAATTAGGCTGGAGCTGATGGTGTAATGGTGTTTAGATATGTTCTTTGACCTCTTAGTACCATTGACTGTAGAAAACAGTTTTCTACAATCAATGCTTAGTACCAGTTGAGCATCATGTAAATACTACAGCCTATCTGAATATTGTTGGTGACCATGGCTATTGCTTCAGCAAGATAACGCAGTATGTCACAAATCATCTCAAACTGGTTTCGTGAACATAACAATGATTTCGCTGTACTCAAAGGGCCTCCACAGTCACCAGACCTCAATCTAGTAGAGCACCTTTGAGATGTGGTTAAACATGAGATTCACATTATAAATGTGCAGCCGATAAATCTGCAGTAGCTGTGTGATGCTATCATGTAAATATGGACCAAAATTTCAGAGGAATGTTTCCGGCACCTTTTTTGACCATGTGAATTAAGGCAATTCTGAAAGCAAAAGGATATCCAATCTGATACTAGTAATGTGTACCTAATAAAGTGTCCAGTGAGTGTTTATGCCACATACGATACACAATATTTGGTGACAATCACAAAGCACAAATAAAAGGCAAAATGATCAAATGCGAAATACTGAGATGGCATCTATGTCACATGTTAAACTATATTTAGCAATGAATGTTATAAAAGCATACAATACTCTCTGTGCCAATTGTCGAATAAGCAGTGGAGAACTTTTTTTTTCAACTGATCCACACACAATTTAATTTAATTCAACTGTCTACAATACAACAGATCTGTCTAGCAGATAATCACCTGTTCTCTCATGTAAATATTTTTAGACCCTCTACAATCAAAACAGTTAAGACAAACTCAAAGCTCTTACTGCACAGCACTGGCTGTGCCCATTTAAAATCATCTGATTTACTATCCTGGTTTTTATTACATTTAGTAAGACGTGTTACATTCTGTAATACTTTGTTGAATTTGCGCCATTTCGCTTATTTTTTTTACAATTACTTAATAGGTCTGAACCATACTGAGATTTGGGTTTTGTCAAATTATGTTTGCTTTTACTGAGCGTTTATTGATATATTATTCTATTTATTTAAACTATTTCAAGCCGTGTTAATTTTAGCTGTGCTACCAAAAGATTTCCGCATGTTTAGGATACAAAATGTACACATTGTATGATCTCATCTTTTCAACCCTAGAAATAAACACTGCTACTTAAGTAAATGGGTGACAGAACAGATCTGAAATTGTATCCTAAGGCGAGCCATTTGTAAAACATTCAAACCTCAAACGCTTAAAACTGTTAAAAACACTTCCATAAATAATTCCACGCTGTATTTCTTAGACGCTAAATGAGCTAACTTTAGCTACTATGACAATGTCTCATGTTAGCTTATCTGAGGTTAACGCCTACTGCAAAGGCTAGACTAAATTAGATGCTTACCTTTTTAACCATCGACTGTACTAAATGTGGAAACACGCTGGTCAAAACCAACGAAATGCCGAGAATCAGCATCAGTACAGAAACAACTCCGACGCTGTAAACGCAACATGACTTTAGCACCATGACGAGGCAGTAGAAGGCTAAACACGTCTCTCAGCTTTCACTGACAGCAGCTACCCACTGTTTGCTGTTTTTGTTTTGAGAAGCCAGGAACTTGCTCGGTAGAGCAAAGACTCACTTCCGGAATAAGACACTTCGCTCCTACCACATCCGGTTTCATAGAGAGTCGATAGGGTCAGTGAGCATTCAGCCGTAAAAAAGAAGCTGCAGTGATTTTAAATAATCTGTTTAACCTTTGTTATGGGGCTCAATGGTGAAATATGATGTATGAAAAACATAACAAATTAAACTCCCTCCACAATAGCTGGTCGTTATTATAGCTGAACCGCAGAACGAGTAGGCTATCTATCTTGAAGGCAAACATTCTTTGTTTTTTTATCTAAAGCAGTAGCAGTTTAAACCTTTTGTTACGGACTTTAAAAAAACATATTTGTTAAATATGAGTATAAAATTGTGTCATTCATTTCAGTGAATGACTTTTTTAAGCTTTTTTTAAAAACAACAAACTGCAATAAAGAGACAAGAGGAAAAGACAAAAGAACCAAGACAAGCCAACTGTCACGAGGGGCAGGACGGACAGGTTCAGTCTGCGAATCACAAATTACAGTTCTTTATTCACACAACACCAGGCGCTACGTTTTAGGAAGTGGCATAGCAGTAAACAGCTTCTCCACTAGATGTCCCTGTCTTACCATTTACTAAGATTTTTGGTTCTCTTTGCTGCCTCTAACCTGAAATTATAGCGGACCGTATACCGGGGTTGTCATTCGTCTAACCAGACTAAACTATGAGTAACAACGTGTGTCAGTCTTTGTCTCACTTTGTTTTCTGGTTTTTTTTTCTTCTCTGATCAGAAATTCCCAAATTAGACCGCTTCATTAAAAAAAAAATGCTGCTCATTTTCATCTGAGAAGCAGATCAGAACACACTTTATATTAGTTTATTATTAAAAAAAAATACCAACAATTTAGTAAAAATGTATAGTTTACAAGCACAAAAACCCTAAAATAAGGAAAAAAAACTTTGAAAGAATGGCTACTACATGACACAGTGAGCTACAGTGGGGCAAAAAAGTATTTAGTCAGCCACCGATTGTGCAAGTTCCCCCACCTAAAATGATGACAGAGGTCAGTAATTTGCACCAG